GCCATTTTACCTCATCTTTTATGGAATGTTTTACCTCCGTTGACCTAGTATCGTTTAGCAGTGCGCGTGTAGGTAGCTCGTTTGACAGGCAATATCCGGATGATCCATTGTTCACCTCATTGTGGATTCTATACGAGAATGGCTCGCTCTACCTCTCTTTCATTTAACTTTTACCTCTTTGTGCACAGTGTCCACAAAAAGAAAACTGCAAATACATATCTATTTACCCGTTGTAATCTTTAGTAAATATTATATAATATATCTTTATTCGGATAAATCTAACTATAAAAAATAAATCATGACAGAACCAATAATATTTTTGTAATAAATTTTTTCTTCTTCTTCTTCTTCTAATAAATATTTATAGGTAATATTATTAACTACTATATTAAACAGGTGGATTAAAGAGTAAAAAACGGAATCTTGCTACAAATATGATTATTTAAATATAATAGTTTGATACCAAAGTATTAGTTATTTACTATGAAATTTTTAGCAAATATAAGATATGGGGTGTAGTGCAAGACTACGAAAGAAATAGATACTAGAAAACGATCAAAATTACGCGCTTTGCCCTGTCGTGTACAATATTTTTTAAACGTTAGTCTTAATATATGAAAAAAAACGAAATCTGCTATTTTTATTTTTCAGAATTACAACTGATTTATGAAAGTCTTAGAATCGTCATAGTTTTACATTTATTTTATTTTAAAATATGTACTATAATAACCTATATTAATTTCATCAGTAAATAACATTTTATCGAATCGAAGTGTTTGAGTGCAGTATCTAATAGCTAATATTTGCGTCGCATAAATTGGTAACAACACATTTCTTAGTTTTAATTTCCTGCACAGCAAATATAAAATGTGACTATAATTTATCTAGAAGTTTTAGTAGAAAGTTGGGGATATAACTTAGGTAAGCTTTTACTTGAGAACAAACAATAACGTTTTACACAGAAATACACAGTTGTTTTTAAAATACTCTAGATTCTTATAGCAGTGAGTTTTCATAATTGATATTAACAACTTTTATTTTACACCTGATATCTAAACACTTTTTTTTAAAGCAATATATAATTAATTGTCTTTAACTCATTAGGAGTACATTATACGTACTATATCATGCCAAAAAATATAAAATAATATGAAAAGAAATAGTAATTTGTTGTAATTAATACCAGTCATTTGTTGTGTTTAATAATAAATGCCTAAATGAAACAACAGTAATAATAAAGTAACATAGATACAATATAAAATATAAAATAATAGTGCTTTATTTATTTTCATTGTGAAACATATTATAATGCCGCTACGCCAACAGTAAGTCATACGTCATGTTATATACATATAGTATGAAATATATGAGGTGTGGTTACTCGTTGCCATGCACAAGTAACTATTATATTTGACTCTAGGGAAAAGAGATTGTTAGTAATGTGGACTAATAACTCTGTTGCTACCAATGTACCCTATCAGGTTGCCACGTGGTTCGCACCAGAAACCATTGTAATAAATTCATGGTGAATTTACCACGACAGGCTAACTGACCTGACCTCATACTCATCTTATCCTCTTCCTATCAACAGATGCCCCGCCAGCGTAAACCATGAGCGCAGGCGGGTGCATTCTTATCATCTAAAACTATTTGAATCTCATCATTTTATACTGTCTTTCGAAAGTATTATATGTGATAAAATACATCATTCTAGGAATAAAGATTTTTAAAACTAGTTACTGCTACCATAGGTACTTATATAATATTGAAAATAACTAATCATTAAAATTATCAATGATGTTTAAGTCGGGTGGGTCTTTTTACATAATTGCTTAGATGGTGCTTAGTTCCGTCACAGTTTATTTACATTTATGTTTTACACGTCTACACTAATGAATTCATGTCAACTTTGAACAAGTCATCATCGTTTAGAAATATTGTTAGATGGCGGGGGAAGTCCAGTTGCTTATGTCACTACGTAGTGCATAATATGTTACGCTTCAGTTGAAACCACGAATAGTAAAAACAATAGACTTTTTTGTCGTTCTGTAACCTTCAAGCGCCATATTTATTGTCTTCAATTTTTTTAAATAATTGCCGAAATGTGTTCGTAGTGTTAGGTAAACTAACTTCCCTATACATGTATATTGTGGATTGTAACACTGTGATGTAAGATATTAAACATTAATATAATATTGTTATTCCACTCGCCTCAGCTTCGCATGGTTATTTTATTCACATTAAATATTCAGTAATAGTAATAACAATAATTTGTTAGACCAGTAGTTTTTACCAGAGGTTGTCATAAGTCGTCTGCGAGCTAAATTTCACCTATATTTAAGCTTTGTAAGCAGTAGCTACGTTGTAGCATGTAATTAGGTGGTAGATTTACAGAATAGGATACACTATGTCTTACACCTCTGCAATGGCAACGCATTAATGGTAACACGGACGGTATATATAGGCGACAATTACAGCTTATCAGGTGGGTTGTCAGCTTGTTTGCTATTCTAATTACATAAAAAAACATAACAGCTCTATACTGTGGGTAACACTGAGTATCGTGCTTTATGTATAATAGTTAAATACATTATTCATGTGGCTTCATATGTCTTCGTCGGAAAAATAGTATCTAGTGTTCTCCCTTGTGATGTACCTCTCTACAATAAAAGATAGAAAAATTCAGGTTCTCTACAGCTCACTCACACAACACGAAATAAAATCGTATCTACTCATACAAATAGTTTGATAATTATACGTGTTCTGTTCAATGTTCTATAATGTTAATATAAATATGCTAAAGGTGAATGTAATTGGTATCTTCAAGTATATTTTCATTTCGTAAACATTACATTAATCAGTATATAAAATTACAACGAACTGACAACACCAAATTTTATTTATTACTTGTAACTATTTTTTTATTCCATTCAAGCGATATGTTAATAATTGTTAGTTTAATATTTTTGACATACATTTTAAGTGTAATCTTAATGAAGGTTAATTGTTCACATTGGCTTTAATTTCTGACGAAGACAAAGATTCAGTTTGTGCATTATTGGCAGTAATCAAATTACAGTCAACTAAGTCATATAGGAGAGAACAGAGTTCATCAAAGGGATATTATACTATTTAAGGCTTTGGCAAAAACAGCAAGTTTTCCAAAAACATGAAAAGAATGAAGGTTCTCAATAGAACAATATTCTATGTACCTATTTTAGGCGATATTTTTGTTTATCTTTATAATTGTAATTAAGTATATCGAATAATTTCTCATTAATTTCATCACGTTCAGTTATATATTTTTTGTAAAATACATCTATGGTTTTATAGTTTTTATCTATCTTTCCTCCAATGTGCTTAGTTGCTGTTATATCCAAATTCTTTTAAGAACCCTTACCTAATATAAGGTATGTTTTATTGGAATACATTATATAGAAGCCAATTTCGAGCTAGCTCTTGTATTCTGTGATGCCTCTGTAAATAAATTTCAAGTTGTATTGGTAGCCGCATAGTTCAGTATGACTTTGTTTTTAAAAATATTTTTCTTGTTAATTATGTTATTAATATTTTCATATATTTATTTTAATAATATTACATATTAAATTATAGTTTATATTATGAGACTTCTATGCAACAGGGATTTGTATATTTATTTACATCTAATCACTATGTAAACGTTTTTGAATCGTACTCTATATTAAGAGTTCTACAGATCTTAGTACGAGCCTAATACAATTATAGTTTATATATAATAACAGGTTCCCATTTACATATGAGATGATTTGAATAAAAAGTACACAAAAAATACATTCGAACTGAGAACCTGCTTCTTATTTTAAGTGGTTTAAAAAATAAACCGGCTTCATTGTATTTCCCGTATCAAAGGAAGGCATGACGTAAGGTTATCAGAATTTATTATTCATGGTGTTCACTGCTATAAAAAATATAAGTAGGTACAAGTGTAAAACAGTATATTTTACAGTGCACAATAATAATTATATTCACAATTACAGTGTTCTTATGTTATGGTAAATTTCATATTTTTATCTTTTCTGTTACAGATATTGGATTCCATGGCTAGTAATTATTAGATTTGTTTATGGTGTTACGGTGTTTTTTCTGTGGTGGACGAATGGAAATCAAGTAACGCACAGTGCAGTAACCTAGTTATGTAGGATTTTTAACCAAGTTATTGTTTTGTTGTTTAAATTAGTTCCTTGTTTTGTGCATTTATAATAGCTTAAGCACGAGTAGGTACCTCTTGTGTTTTCTGCCAACTCATAGTTCTTTTATGATTATAAAATTTTATCAAGCCCATAAACAAAAAAAAGTCTCGTATTAAAAAAAATATTATTTTAGTTTTTTAGTTCTCGTCGTGGCATATCATCAAATTTCAATAAAAAGGCTTTCAATTAATTTTTACATGTGTATCGATGTGAACTGACAATGTGCCTAGTTTCATTAATTACGTTTCCAATCGATAGAGTTTACACTGTTTAAGGATAATTATAAAATATTACAAATAGGTAAGGATTGTAGGCATATTTTGTGGGAGAAGATATATCAATCATCATATTGGCAATTTAGGACCTGCACTGCATTCAATGCCATTGAATACAGTGGCCTTGTGTCTGGTCAGTCAGTTGTTGTGATTGTGTTTGTAATAATTGGACAAATATGTTTACAAAAATATATCAGTTCAAATTATAATTTATACTTAGTACTTACCTATAATTTTGATAAATCCAAGGCAAATGTGTCTTATACATAATTATAGCAAAAGTAATTATTCAATGACTTATTACTTATTTGTGTAGTTCTCAAAGTTGAAAATTCCATTTTACAGCATTTTTTGTTTATTTAGATATTACATAATTCACTCATCTGATTGATATTTAACATCACAAACCGTGACAGGAAAATTAAGTGATTATGATTGCAAAATGATTGTGTAGAGTTAGTTATCTTATGGCAGTATACTATAAACCGCTGACGCTGTCGCATGCACAGTTTAAAAAGTTATCAGCGCATAAAAACGCGCGAAACCGCATTCGATTTGATCACTAAAATAATATATTTTATAATAATAATAATTAATTCGCGTAGAGAATATATACGCTTATAGAGAAAAATGTGATATTTCGTGTTTACATTAAGAATAGTTTTATGGCCTTCTTTTAATATGAAAATCTATATACCTACAAAAATGCATTCCTCTTGACAATAAACTTCTTAGTATTATATTCGAAATATGACGTGTTTACGTATATAAAATTGAAAGGTAAGCAAATAAATACTTATTTATGATTTATAAATAGGACATAACAACTGACATCTTGATGATGAAATATTAAATATATTATTATTATCATTATCTCCATCGATCTATTGATCAATTCTTATTTTTAGGTGTTGTATATATCTACGATATTTGTTCAATTTTGTCGATATTGAACGACTTCAATATTGTTGCTTTCAAAATCTATGTCGATAATTTTCTTTAAAATATTGGATTTATAAAAAATATAAAGCGTATTTTACAAAGGTTTTACATTTCACTTATGTCGAAGTAACTTGTAAATAATACCTAATAATAAGAGCTAAGTATATAAGAATATATATATGTAGATATACCCATAATCGGGTATATCTATATATATTCTTCAGTACTAAGTATATTTACTTACGTATAAAGATGATTAGAGCTGACAGTTGATAGATTGGTATGAATACTTAAGTAAGTAAAAATAATATAATTAAAGTGACTACATTTGATCAATATTGATCCAAGACTATGGTAAGTACCAAATTTAAAAAAAAGGTTAGTCGACGAATCCATTCGATTGGAGAACATACTAGAATTTCTCATTCACAATATTTCAAAGTTTGAAGATGAAAGTTTATATAACCTGTACGTGTTGCAAGTGATGACATAGTCACATATAAATTCGTGTGCGTGGGTACCAAAGTCTCACATATTTCAGCCTCTAAGAAGTTTGGTTTGCAAGATTTATTTCGGTTGTAGGATGCAGGCAGTGAAATTACAGGCTGAGAGGCATCGTAGTCCTCAGAATTAGCAACGCATGGGTGGTATTGCGGATGTCACATGGTAAGGGGATGTCTGTAGTGTTGTTAATGCATATTGGGAATTGCTATAATGTTTGTCATCGCTTACCATCAGGTATGCTAGCTTGCTATTCTTATTACAAATAAAAAAAATCGTAGAATCCAAGACAATGTGATCGGTACAAGAACTATGAATATCATTATGGATGTCCTATCATTATGGATGTGTAGCTGAAGTCGCAGTTGGCTGCCCACATAATTTACGTATATACAAATGTTAAATTATTATTATTATGCCTATTGTGTCAACTACTCCACTTGCAGCATTGAAATAACAATTTAACCTTTGATACACTATAATTACCGACCCTTAATAGGCAGATATTATGCGAAATTAAGTATCATAATGTTACAAAAAAATATGAGATTCTAGATAATGTAACTAAAAAATGATAAAAATGAAATTTCTAAACTTTTTTTAAACAAGTATTAGGGCATATTTAGTAGCACAAGGTACCTAGTTTGTAGAACCAGGTATCTTGTGCTACTAAATAGTAACGTGTTTGTGGTAATATATGTAGATATGTATATACATAAATATATATATGTATGTACATATAAGTTAGTATTAATGGTTGATGTTTCAATTGTGATTTGTATTTAATTGTGTGTAAATAAATAAAAAAAAATTTGTCCATCCGGTTAATGTTAACACATAAACAGAAAAATCATTTATTTAATCGGTTAATATCGCATATTTGTATACTTATGTAGGCATGTGTGAATAATGTTCAATTCTATAAATTTCTTTATATAAAATACTGCCTGACTGAAATTGGAAATGCCACTAAAATAACTAAAAAACTGTGTAAAGTAATTATTCACACACACAATAATTTTGCAACATTACAATCAAATATTGTAATAAGTACGTATTCTACAGGCAAATATTTATGAATAATTAAAATCTTTTTTATGCAAATATTGGCTGGCTTGTTGTAATAAAATATAGAAGGATAAAACAAAACAAACGATAGCAATACAAATAAGATTATAAATGGTAGGAAACATTAATGAAAAGGTGTATGCACTTTATATGTTGAGAATATTTAAAATATATAAGAAGTTTAAAGTTATACAATATTTATGTATGTACATAAATATGTTGTTGAGTGCTGATTACATACCATAAACGTTGTCTCTTCACGTGATCAAGAATTAACCTTGCAGAGGGAGATAATTGCATCTGATCGCTTCTTATAGTGGTTTATAAGGAAGAATCGTCCATGTTCAGTTATAGAAAGGAGTACAAACACCTTTTACTTTTACCGAATGTGCAGCGTAAATAAATTAAATTACTAAAATAGTGACGATGTCATTTGTAAAAAATATTGTATAATTTGTATAATACTAAGTAGTAACTGCCTGCGTAAATTGCTCTGCCTAGGCACCAGTTGAGGATGATAGAATGAACATTAAGTTAGGTCAATTAGGACATCGAGATGAATTAACCACTATGGTGTCCATAGCAAACCGCGTGGATGTCGACGTAACATACTATATTGCTAGGAATCGGATCACTATTTCCCATTACTAAGTATTTGCCGCTAATAATCTGGAGTATAATCTATCTGTGTATCTTATTCTAAGAAGAGTGCAATTGTTCGCCTTCAAATGTTTTTATTTCACTAATAGAATTAAAGTATTAAATACAGGATTCCATTATTTATTAAAACAAATTAAGTCTGTTTGTGCATAACGCACTTTTTTATATTATTATTATATTTTATTATATATGTTTTAAATACTTTTTTCCTTTGTTCTATTATTGTCACCATAGTTTCTTCTCATACAAAATTAATTTTCTTAAGTTCTTAAGTACCTAGTCGTTAAATTTTTTTTTAGTTCAATGTAGGTAAAAAGTACGTAATATTCGCCAGAATGCCGAATAGGTCGAAAACCAAATATATATGTATATATATATAAGTTATTCCTTTTATCACATTTATTATATAATATCAAACTATGGTTAGTTTTAGTGGACGCGGCAAGGCATTCATTCCATGAATGTAAAATAAGATTTTGATCATCATCATTATCATCTACCAATAGGAAAGACTCACTTCACACACAGATGTTTCAGACAAGTAACCTCCCGCGTACACTCAGATGAATTACATGCTGAGGTTTTCTATCAGAAGAGCCGTATGCCTTTTTGCCATCACTGTGATATAAAAAAAAATATTACTTACCTCAGTAAATATATTTGAGCCTACAATATCGTGGTGTAGAAGATTTCTAACAAAAGGAACGCTTGCTCTGTACTAAGAAGGACGGCCATGACATTTTAAGTAGTGTACTTACCTATCTCTGAAAAGGAAAACGATGTGATCCGGCTTAGCCATCCTGGTTATTAGAGGATCATTATTATTGCTTACCTGCTTTAAATTCTACTTTCATCTTTGGTTTTATCTTGTTAATGGTCTTTTTAGGGTTCTGTATGAGTGGGTTTCATTTTGATGTTCAAATTCGTAAAATCTAGAATACATTATTCTATGTTAGAAATTCTGGTGCTATTTGTAAAGTAATTAAAATATTTATAGTGATATACGTATACTTTTAGTATACCTTATTAATTATAAACGCGGAAATGTGTCTGACTGGCTGTTTGTTACAATTGCACGGCTGAAGTGTCTTAAAGAAAGACTTCATAATATGTATTGCAAGAACGGACATAGCGTACCAACCACACATAGGTATATGTGGTTAGCTCTGCCTCAGCAATCTATCAAAAGGGCCAAGGTACTGCTTTATAATAAATAAAACCCTTTATAAATAAAAAAAACCCAAGGTACTACTGACCCATAAAACAGTAGAAGATACATTATAGGTATTAACGAACTGTTGGAGTCAAAACTTTCTTGCCTTTGGCTATAGACATAGCCCGGCATTTGCTTTTGTCTTGTTAAATTTCGCTTGTTTACTTATCTTGAAATAATTGCAATTATCTTGTAATTTCCGATCTGATTATGTCCGATCCTACAAAAGGATAAATATAAGTACAGGTTCTACAACAAGTACTATTTAAAAAGCGTACGGGTAACTGTAGAGTAAAGTAAGTCAAATCCGAGGACATTTTTATCAACTTCAAATGATAAACATGTAAATGAAACCTACTTGGCAAAGCACTAAAACCCACGTGAACGGGGTCTCAAATAGTAGTTAGTCACTGAATAAAATAAATATTATCAATTAAGTGACTAATCTACAGTAAACTAAATGACTGAACACGTTATGAAAATAAACGATAGATTACTCTATTTGTTTAGTACATTGTTTTGTATGAATACTTCACAAAACTTTATAAACAAAGAATTATCGGTGTGAGATCACCTACAACTAATTCAGTGATTTTAATGTAAATGACGTAATAATCAAATAATATACAGCAGGAGATAGTACAATCTTTTTATTGTTTGCTAATTGTTCCTTACTGAATATTTTCTTAGTGCTCATTTAGGTAAAATTTGGAACTCCTGTTAAAAAAATAATGTCTCTACAAATTTAATATACACAGTAAATTTTGTATAGTGCTTTATGGAATCTTATAACATACTCGTATGTCCTAGTACATGTTATTATCAAGCATAAATTTTCTTCGTTGAATAATATCTAAATCTAAATAACTAAATACAACATGTCAATAAAAAATAAACAATATGACAATCACGCTTGGTTTACTATGGATACTTATGCACTACACCTACATAATATATTGTTATTAGTATGTCTTTGTCTTTATTTTGCTTATGTTGTTATATGGTGTTGCGGTTATTTATTATTTTAATATTATAAACGTGAAAGTTTGTGAGTATGGATGAATGTTTATTACTCTTTCATTCAAAAACTATTGAACAGATTTTGATGAAACATTACAGTATTTTATCTCATACATCAGAATAATGTACAGGCTATAAATTTCATGCGGGTTAATCCGCGGGCATAGCTAGTATTATTATATTATCTTTATTAGTATTAAGAATTTCTAAACATTATTTTTCAATAATGAATTTATAGCATTGGTACACCTACAAAGATTGAGTCTGTATTAACAGTGTATAAAACAATACAATGAAGAAAGTATTTCGTGATTAGCAAATAAAAGGATAGTTTTTTATCAGCCTGTATTACTTTACTACAAATTACTTTTCCCAACAAAGAATTAATGATGATAATGATTGTCTCATAGATGATATCAAGTTTAAACAGTTTTTATCTTATTTACAAAATGTCAAATGATATTTAGAATAAATGATGCTACAGATATAAGAAATAATTTTTAGTTGTTGTTTTTATTATAACTTGAGTGTAGTCTAGCAGTGGTTGATTCGTACAATATATGAGGGAGGGACTTGACCTATTTTGAGATATAAAAGACCAAACAGTTATTTTTTAATATTTAATTACAAATTATTTAATAACTAGTGCCCGCGAGTTTTAATTATTTGATGTATTGCAAGTTCATCGAATAGAGATTTTAATAAAAAGGTAAATACCTTTTACATGTATTATTTAATAATGTGTGACATTTTTTGTTTACATATCACGTGCTTAATTACTGAATAAAACTGAGTAATTAATTGTTGGCCATTCCAAATACATAAAAATTAGTAATAGCTTCGGTCATCAATTCTAATATTGATGGGTGAATAATAATGATTAAACAAGATTTAATTACATCTAGTTATCATCTAATAATATAAAAAGTAATGAAGTATTATTGTAATTACATAAATGGAAACTATAATAAACTTCGATAAACAATGATAGCAATAAATGTAATTGTTTTAATAAATTTAATTAAATATTTGGTTTAATAAATCATATCAGATATAACTTATAACTTGTAAGTTGATGTAATTTCTATTTTCATATATACATATAAATCAATCTGAACAACAGTCTTTGTACAGAAACACATCGTTTCATCTTTGAGCTTAACTACCACAAAGAGATTCAGAATTGCTTCAAACCGCTTGATATGATTTTGATTGAAGAGACATCAAATTACCGGATTGTATTTCAGCACAGAGATTCTAACTTTTGACTGTGCAATGTAATATTGGAATATCTCATTCGATAATCTATCCCTATCACCTACTTATTAGTATCTTTTATTTTCTATATTATATAGATATTATTTAGTATTTAATACATATGATTATAGAATATATGTATGTAGAATATACTGATGGTTGCATACGTCATTATACTGAAATATTTATGGCAATTTTAGTCATATTTAAACCGTTTAATATCCGTATTTGTTTTGTGATATTCGTGTGTCTATTTGCATAGTTTACAAAATTACGTTTGGTACCTCAAGATTAAGGTTTAAAAGATCTCTATATGGAGTTAGTTATAGATTACATACCTTTTTCCTTTGTTGTGGAAAAACCATCATAAAAATCCGAATTTAGGGATTGGACAAGCAGATTCTGTTAGACTCGTATCGGCTAAAAACTCGTGCCGCATAGTCATAGTCACGGGGCGATGGGGTATTCTACTGCGATCCCGGCGGCATATCTAGCTGTGATATTATTCATGAAACTGAAAAGTTTCCCACATTTATTATTATTTCCTTCTCTCGCGTCGGTGTGACGCACTGTCTTCTGTGTACCCCTAGTCGACTCTTACGACGCCCTGGGGAAGACACCATTCTTACTTCGTCACCGCATGTAGAGCATGTATTACTGAGCTAATTAAAGAGTATATATAGATTTAAAATTTTATTTAAAAGAGTATTTTATTTTAAAACATCTAGGTTATGTAGTCTCCCTAAAATGGGCTATTCAAAACAATAATTTCTATGAATCCATTGCCAATTTATTGTTTATTCTTTGTATTTTAATAGAAACAGCTATTACAAAAATATTTTTGTGTATAATGTTCCATATTGCAATATGACTAGACATTTTCAGAGTTGACATGGGAATAGTACAATATATATAATTAGAGTACAAATATAGATATGTTTAGGCAAGTGGCTTGTAATAATCCTACATTGGTAATATTATTGTAGATACCTACGACGTTAACTAATGAAATAAATTGACTAATAAATTGTCTAATCAGGTAACTACCATAGAACGATAATTACTAACTTCTACTACTTACCCTGGCATGATATTAAGAACTTATTTTGTGAAAAATATCTTAACCTATAAATAAATTATTCTAAGAGTAAGATTTTTGTCCAGTTTAAGATAAATAAAAAAAGCCACGAAAAATTATGCATAATTAATGATTATCGATTTCCAGGGAAAATGAAGCTAATAGATCCGAGGCGGTTTGTCAGCAGGGTATTTCCCATAGTGCAATGGTCAAAAAGCTATGACCTGCAAATCGGTGTTGGTGACTTAATTGCTGGTATCACTGTGGCACTTACTCTGATTCCACAGTCTATTGCCTATGCATCCTTAGCTGGCTTCGAACCACAGGTATTTATATTGGTAATAGTTTAATTTACTACGGACATTGATATTATATATTATTCGTCGACATTTCAGTTAGGTATATAAAAATATAACTTCATTTTGTATCGCTATCAATGTCACTTCGTTACAACTCCGTTTACAAGCAAAAAACTCATTAATCGATTTGTAATATTCCCAATTATTTATTTCGTGTTAATTTCATGGATTATAATTGCTACAAAAATAATTTAATCAGTTAAATAAGAATTGGCGAGTAATATAACATATTTTAGAAAACGCAAGGATTTTCATAATATTCCAAGCGGTTATTGCTAGTTAGCAAATTTTTTTTATATTCTTGTAGAAGTATATATCATCTTGCCCATTTATGTAATGAAGTTCAGCGATATACCTGCTGTCTTTTGGTCGTAAAGACAGTAGGTATATTCTAGTGTATTTTTTCCCATTAGCGATACAATTTGGTCCCACTTTCTCGGGTACACAGTTGTAATCGAAAATAAACTTAATATTTTTAGCATAGGTATTACTAGATATAACATCTTAGTTTTGGTTTTGGTAAGTGACAAAACATTAGACCTTGCTAACTGCAGGTAGGTAGACAGTTAGAATGTTTCGACATTTCATTACTGTTTATATTTATTAATATAATAATACTCGTTCATAGTGAAAACTATGAAAACAGACATTTTTGGGTGAATAAACATTGTGATATCCACTTGTTAAAGCTATCGAAAACAGATCACTAATTATTTTGATGTTATAACGAATATTCAAATTATATTCAGATATTTCGCATCAATTCCATTCAGTCGGATGTTGTTTGTTATTGAAACACAAATATTTGCAACGATGTTCCGGTATTCAGTTGTTGTAATAATAGCGCTAGGTTTTGATCCTCCATCGTCGAGGTAATTTTATGAAATGTGCATTCCAATTAATATCGCAGAGAATGGGTATTTGCAGCAGCGAAAATTTCCTGTACTCTCTTTAATAGCTCAATTTCAGTGGAGTTTTAGTGAAAGCAATTGCTGTAAATGGATACGGATCCATAAGTTTTAAAATGTACACCCATTTTAAACGTATAGTATGAAATCATAGTGGGTAATATCAATTTAAAATTGTAAGCTACCTATTGTAATATCTCCTGGCTCCTTTTTTATTTTATTAGCTGGTGTTTTAAGTTTGCATTGATAATTAACTCAAGTCCGCTTACTTATATACCTGTTCAACCTGGTATATGCTTGACCTTGGAGTCGACATTGATTTCTCTCGTTTCGACTAGCAGGTAGAACTACTAAGTATTATTAATACCTAATTATATTCCTTTGTTAAACTTCACATCTCATTCCTTTAATTATTCGAACAATTTAATATAGTACTTATCTTTTTAATGTATCTATGTAGGTACATTTTTAAATCGAATGTAAGTAAGTAAGCGATTGTTCTCTTTGTAATGCACTTGCACATGTTATTGTACCTACATCTTTACTTTAGTTTATTGATAACATCCGTTACTTCACTTCATTGTTATAACAAGCAGGTCAAAATACTTTAGTAGGATGGGCCGAAGGAATATTATGCTATTCTGCTGACGAACAATTACGCCATTACGCCACTTATCTTGTGGTATAAATGTTCTTATATCCTATTTCCTAATTTAAAATTATTTAAATAATAGTTTTGCCTGTTGAAGACATACATATACTAAAGTAGGGAAAGACATAGGATTTGTTTCCGGAAATGACAATATCTATAAATATCGACATACAACAAAATTCTCATTGAATTATCCGAAACATATTTTTTTATTGTATAATTACATTTATTATTTATAATCATTAATTGACAGTCTCAATAGCTTACTTTAAATTCCATTTACTTGGTACGGGTAGTTTATCAATTTAACGATGTAATTTAATGACCATTTCCTGTATGCAGTGTTTCAAATCAGTCAATATATTAAATATTTCTCTTATGGAATAAAAAAAATAACAGTAAAGTACGAACATTTGCATCTATCACCAATTATAAAAGCAAAGGTTAAATTACAGTACAATTGTTGTAAATCTTCTTTGGATGAATCGATACATATATATGTACATACATATGTAGATAGTTCAGAACTGAACTCAATCTGAAATGTGGGATAAGAACACGAAAATTAATGAAATGATGACACATATAATTCTATTTTTATATGTTGAGGTATCCATAAAACGACTGAGTACGGCTTTACCGATGTGAATAATCTAACGTATAATATAAATACAGCCCAGCTTTGTTATTAAAGTTTTTGAATAAATACATGCTTTTAAATGTGATACTAATAGATGCCTATTTGTCTTTATTTCAGTATGGCCTGTATGCGTCGTTGACGGGAGGTTTCGTATATGCTCTAATGGGCACATGCCCTCAGATCAACATCGGGCCGACAGCACTCCTATCTCTACTGACGTTCACGTACACAAACGGCACCAATTCAGACTTTGCGGTGTTGGTTTGCTTCATCGGTGGTATTGTACAACTAATTGCTGGCATCGCTCAACTTGGTAAATTGTCTTCTATCTATATTCAGATCTTGCCTTTTACGGTTGAGAGAATCATATGCCAAAAGCCATGTTGTAGACACTTGTACTCAGGAGGTAGATATAAGCAAAATTGTTACATCTGTATTTTTTAAACTGAAACTGGAAAAAAAGAAAAGGGGTTACATTATAGAAAGTGGTGATTTACAACTTGACCTGCACCTTATAATTTTACGCCCAAATCTCAACCTTCAAACAGGTCCACAGTTTGCAAAGCTTGCTCGCAGACTGTAGCAATATATAAGTGACTGTCATCCCAAATAGAGTATCTCATGATCTCACGACCTGGCAGTTAGGTTAGCCTCTATGGTATGAATTTATATTTATCTACTCTAGTTATAAATCTTTGGTGTGGTTTAAGATTGTTGGTTTTGGTTGCGGTGGAACTATGACCATTATTTTAGACCATGGTGGCAATCAAGTAATAATCTATATGATGGTAAACGGCTACCGTAGCCTATAAATGCTTGAAACACCAATGATGGTCTGTGAATATTTTTGTCTTTCTTCGATTAAAGTAATTGTCATACAAAGAACAGTATCCATATAACTATACGAGAATGGAGCACCTGATTGCGAAACTTCGAAATATTGAACATACCTACTCCTATGCAACTGAAAATTGCACCACTCTGGTTTTATAGTCTTTAGAAATGCCGTTGTGTCGTTGGCTTTTATTGTTTTATTGTAAACTGTATTACATTGTACAATACTAAAGACAAAGTACTATATACAATAGAAAAAAATTCTTAAATTCAAAAGCATCTATATATTTTAGGGATTCAATGAGCAGAACATCTTAATAGACACTAAAATAAATTACACAATAAAATAAAAATCTATTTATTCAATTATTTAGGGAACTCTCGGTCCTTTTTTCCTCAATACGAGTTTTAACGTACATATAATATAATAAAAAAAACACGGGATATTTACCATGATAATATTATTTAAGAGTTCCCTTTATACAGTGTGTTTTGTTGTGACTATCGAAGTTTTTCCAGTAGTAGTGGTGACGGTGTACATAGAAAGCGGATAAACTTATTTGACTGCTCGTAATAATTGTTTACGTCCACCACCGGCCGAAGATGGTAGACTTGTGACTACGAACGTTCGTAACAGAGCCGAAATATCGGGAGCGTTTTTATTAGGGTTAATATCCCGTAAACAATCATGAAATTTATTTACAATATTTAAAATCTTTTAAAATACTATTAGACGTTTTATACACTATATAAAAAACATTATATATTCAATGATTACATAATCATCGAACTAGCGACTAGTTCCTACTTTGCCAGTAGTATATATACATAATACTGGCAAAGTAGGAACTGGTCGCTAGTTTACATGACAATAAAAGAAAAACCTGTTCATTGAACACATTTCATGGTAATAATTAAATTGTTTGACTTAATACTAGAGACGTTGGTTATACATACCTAATGTCTTTACACTTTGCATTCACAAATGGACATAAGGATGAAGGTTCTTTGAACTTGTCTTATTGTCCTCTTGCGGACAACGGTATCTCTTTATCTTTGTTTGAATTGTTTCTGAACTTAAAAAATGGATTTAATATATTTAAAATAATCGACTATATTTTTCAATAACAAATATTGATTTTTTAAGATGTTATAGAATTTTAAGGTACCTACTTTATATTAAGAGTCTTAGAAGGGAGATACTCCATTGTTAGTTAATCTATTACTAATATTATAATATTTATATATACTAATATTTTAGTTGTCTTATCATTGTGTTGTTGATTGTGGCATTGTATTATTGCAGGATTTTTAGTAGAATTCGTGTCGTTACCCGTAGTGTCTGGATTCACATCAGCAGCGGCTATCACAATAGCATCCTCACAAATTAAAGGATTGTTAGGTTTGAGATTCAGTGCTGAATCTTTTATGTCAACCTGGAAAGGGGTATTCAAGCATATACAAGACACAAGATTACCAGACACACTACTAAGTTTAGCGTGCTGTGTTGTGCTAATAGGAATGAAAGTGAGTATAAAGTGTAATTTCTTAAACTTTTGAAGTTTATGTTTTATGAGATATTTTTAGGCTGTTGTGGTATTGAGTTTAAATCAAGTGTGTCAAAAATTTTCATGATTAACAATCAAGCATGCATTATTCACTGACTTCATCAAGGAGTTAATCTTACCAAGTAGGTACATTTTTAGATTACAAAAACTGCTTACGGAATTGTTACGTGCTTGACTTAAGTAGAGAATTTACACAATAGTTTCAAGAGTAACAAAGTAATTTATAATTTATTAAGTACGTATACTACAATACCTGTTACTTTAACGTAAAATAAAATCCATTCAGCAATTTTGTTTTGAAAGTTAACATATAGTCAAGCAGACTTCCCTATTTCTAATATTATTACAGAAGGATAGTTCATTTTTAAATGAGTAAAGGAAATATCTACTCTGTAAATATACAGAGACCTCTCTAATCGCGTAGATACCTGTGTAAAATGACATCAGGGAATTTTTATTTTGTGTGTTCTAACGACATAAAAATGTCCAATGTAATGGATATATCTCTTATCGCGCCGTATTCAAGCCAAAATAATTTGCGTGTGGTGCTAAATCTATTGTGATTTGTGATATTGCATTACTCATAAAAACGTGTCACCTTAAAAAGTTATAGAGATAAATTTGCACATAGAGTCATCAGTATTTATTTTGTAAATAAATATTGCCAAAGATATCTTATATATATACATTATATATAGATAATATTGCCAATCCATACTATCATACCAATATTATATACACTAAAGTGCGTTTGTTTGTTTTTTACCATTTACAGTTTACGTTTACTAAATGGCTAAATTGATCTTAATATACATATGTATAAGCGACAGATAGTATCACGGCGATAGGGAAAGGCTATTTTAAAAGAGTAGTATTTATATATTTTAAATATAACCTCTATTATGTCTATAACTCTCATTGTTACCAATGTGAAGTTATAGACATCACAGACGTTAGTCTCAATACTTACATATTGTACAGTATACTGACGTGTACATTATGTTTTATTTATGTTTATATCTTGCTCACTGCATTAATATAATTAAAATGTATAAGACACGACCTCAGAATGAACATTTTTTTAAGTTTTTTTCCGCTATTAAAACAATTTTTATCATGATAAACTCCATGTATAAATATCTACTTAGTTTACCCGTTAGTTTAGTTAGTACGTTAACGTTAGTTTAGCATGAATTTGTCTCAAGTAGTCTGAGCTGCTTCTAGTTCTTCTCATATCATGTTCACAAGAGATACTGGAATCATTTGATAACTGCAACATCATAATGATTATAATAATTAGGTAGGTATATATATCATGTGATAGAAATAAATATAAAGTAGTCAATTTTGAATCTAATAATTATTTGAATATTTTTTTTTCAATTTGTATATCTTATGGGAAATAGGTATAGTCTGCACACACAAGTTCTAATATTTAAATCGAAATCTCATAGAGGTGTGCTATAGGTATCTTGTAGTTTCCAAGTTCCAAAGTCAGGATTCGGTGACGAGACTAATTGGACTTAGGTAACATTGTACATGAATAATTTATCTGCTGGTATTGTAATATTCCATAACTGGTTGTAGGTTTTGGTTGGTTCTATACAGTGAAGATATTAAATCAAATCAACTTGGGTTGAAATAATTTCCCGACTCTTGAGAACATTTATAGGTTTGATGTAATTTATGGATTATTATTAGATATTAACGGAATTTAATTTAAAATAAATAAATTTGTTATGATTATAATGTAATTAATTTCTCATTTAGGTATGACTAGGGTTTCAACCTAACCTTTTTATAGATATACAATGTATACGATGGAGTAATATAATTTACTGAATGCACTATGTACCTACATATTTATAAACCTTCTAGACGTAACTCTTGATCATTTCAAGAGTTATATGAACGTGAAAACCATATCAAACACATTTAGGAGACATAAATGATGAAACACACGGAAGAAAAGCGCGACTTTGCTTTCATAGGCCTAGGCATATGTATAGGTAGAGATGGTGTTTTACGTGTTTTTTTGTACAATAATGGATTTTCCTTCTATTTATCCTACTCCACGGTCTTATTGTAATGCAATTAGGTGGGGTACCTACGTGTGTACAAAAGAGGAAAACGGAAAACTAAAAGGTTGTTATTCGATTATACTGCAATTATCTTCGCATTCTTTTACGTACCTTTTATAGTAAAAATAAAATCTACGATAACAATCACTAGAAATAATTCTTAAAATATCATACATATAATATTTTATACTACAGTATAGGTACGAAATACACTTCTGATAATTTTATTTAAATATTGATGGACTATTTACAATTTTAATGAAATAGAGATGAAATAATTTACATATAACTAATTATTTATTCTAAATCTTGTAAATAATAAATGTAACATCTAATATGAAAGACCCTATTTACAAGGTTTTAGGTTAATTTCTATTTTTCGTAGCAGTGTTAAAATATTATTATTTTTATTTACAGGTTATAAAAGATATTAAAATTAAGGGTATAAATGACGAGAAGAGTCGGAGGACAGGTCTGATAATTCAGAAATGTTTATGGTTTGCGGGTGTAGGCAGGAATGCTGTGGTTGTGGTCTTGGCGGCCGTGTTGGCTTTCTTCGTACACCAGGATAAAGACGAGCCATTAATTTTAACAGGTACTGTTGCCACTTGCAATTTGTTTTCCTGAAATGTACAAAATAAAAACATCACTTAAATTTTATAAGTACTGTAACACATTTACATTTTTATAAAAACTTATAACATAGCTTCTACGACACAATGTAAGATTTTTCACAACAGTTCTTAGAGGTATTTGTTTATGTAAGTTCTATACATTTTTTTTTATTTATATAAATTATAAAAACAACAGTTACAAATATACGTAAATATTACAATTTATAAACTTAGTTACAACAGTACCGAAATAAAGCCATTACTGAGATACTCATATATAACTAAACTAATATTGGATGTAGTTGCCTACAAAGTAGGTTGTACAGTACCATTATGTTAATTATATTAATATTGTTTTATACAAAATATGTGGATTATTTTAAAAAAATGCATATATTTACGAGTATATGCATGTATATAAAATATAGATGATTTCTTGTTTCAGGCAATATAACACCGGGTTTACCAATGCCCCAACTACCACCCTTCCACACAACTGTAGGCAACACTACATATACGGCCGGGGAAATGTTTACCCATTTAGGCTCAGGGTTACTTGTTGTTCCAATAGTGGGCATCATATCTAACGTCGCTATAGCTAAGGCTTTTGGTAAGATATTTTAATGTTCTATAAAAAAACACATACATGTGAATATATACCTTCACAACTATTATACTATATAGGGTTGTCAGAGGCATTATAAACTTCGATGTTGTGGTAAATGAAACTCCTAACGTGACCACATTTCGCTTAGAATATTGATAGACTCGCCATGTAGAATACGCGGCAGAGAAAGAACCTTCACGCCATCACTAAGATGAATTTTCAGTTTGATATCAGTGTTTTCTTCATCGGATAGTCAGTCAGAAATACAAATTGACACTTTTTAGTCACACGTTTATTTCTTTGGACACGTTTGAATTCTTGGGAGTATGCCGTATAATATATCACTAGACCCCAAGGCTCTCAAATTGTTCACGTTCTATTCATTCTATTATATGCAGTTTGCATTAAATTTTCTATAATACACTTAGACGTTACGTTATGAATTTCTTCATACCTCTAAAGTTGGACATTTTTGAATTCAAACCATCTCAGTTGCTGTCAATTTGTCGAAAGCAATCGAAAAACAATTTGAAGTCTTCGCAATACACATTAAGTCGTATTGGAGAGAACGATTTCCCGTTATGTAAAATAAATCGAGCATTTACGAATTATCATAATTGACATTGCAAATGGGCCCGCTTAAGTAACAGTCGACTGGCGATGCAGGCGTTGGATAGCATCACAATCCATTACCATACTTTAGGATGCCATTTTGTAAGAGACGTATCTATACGGCTATGTTACATAAAACTATTATACTTATTGTCATTGTAATATTATTGAATTTAACATTTAGATTTCCTAGTGAGTTATAACTTTGTAGTTTTTATGTTTAAGAAATTTATAATATTACTCAAAAATAATATATTAAGTCGAATACATGCTGAAATACGTGAGGAATATTCATGAACTGAATAAGTTTCTTCGTGAAGCGTAGTAGAGATAATTTTTGTAACTGGCTAACAAGCTGTCAGCCCACTTGAGTAACCGTCCGAATAGGTATGAATAGCACTTCGGGTATTACAAAATATGTTACATCCGTAATAATCTCAGTGTTGCTACTCCTGAGGTCTACGACATTTTACATTCTTACCGATTTTTCGTTTGCAAAAATTATTGTTATTCAATTAAAGGCAAATATTATGAATAGTGAAATTATTGTTTATATTATAAAGTAACAATTCAGAAGACTGGTTCCCTGACTCGTTTAATACTAATATAACAAGATGCATTAAAAAAATTCATTAATTACAATTTTAATAGTGATACATACAACATAATGCAATATGCTACGTCTTCTTAGAAAGAAATATGATTCTTCTTAGATAGAAAAAAATATGGGTAGACATAACTAATACTATAACTTAATACTTGGGACAATACAAATATTGTTAAATTAATATACATATATAATAAAAAATTATAAATAAGAAATAAATGACGCATTTTGCGGTTTATCATACTATCATATTCCCGATTCTGATTCTTGCAAACAATTTTGTATTAGTCTACATGATTTCTATGTATTTAGAGATTATGAGAAGTTGTTTAGTGACCATAACACAAGCTCTTCTTAGTTTGGGACTTGACACTGTGTGCATTGTCCAGGATAAACTAAAAACGATGCCATAGAACTGTTAACTAAAATAAGTCTCAGTATTTTCATTAAATTTATAGAACATTTCAGCAAGGGGCAGCACGTTGGACGCAACTCAAGAAATCGTTGCACTTGGAGTATGTAACTTCATAGGCGCTTTCTTCCGATCGTTTCCAGTGAACGGGTCGTTCACTCGCAGCGCTGTCAGCGACGCGTCGGGCGTTAGGACTCCTGCGGCGGGCTTATATACAAGTATGACATTGATTTATTATTTAATTTTTGTATAACCCCAGATTATTCATGCCTTCTAAAAGAATGGATCGTTTAACATGCGGTTTTTTTATTTGAAAACTGGCATGATCGAGATTATTCTTGTTTTGGCTACCATTTATTAGAAATATATGAAATCGTTTTTAAAATTCATATAATTATTTCTATTATTACTGGTAATAATAGTAGAAAATAAATATTGGAAGCCTGGGCTTCCAATATTTATTTTCTACTATTAATAGCAAACTAAGAGATTAACTGACACCATCCTTTAATTCTTGTACCTGACACGTGTAGATAGCAAACTCTGAAAAATGGCGAGCACAATAGATCTATGTACCTACTGCTACCTGCAGTACTACGGGTCGTAGCACCTCACAATAGCCCAAACCCCCCCGGTAAAGAAATAAAACTAATGCCAATTATGTCTCGTCATCGATGTACATCAAGTTTTTTTTTTATTTCGTACGAATAGCACACTTTATGGTGAGTAACAACCATCGCCTATATGCATAAATAGGACCACATCACGTTATCATGCTCGCCCTGATACCACTTATGTATTAGAGGACCTACCAAGTAATTTTACTTCTATCAATATGCCTTCAATCGAAACACAGCTTAGAAAAACAAGCTGATTGTCTCTGCAATAAAGATGTAATAGGATCTCTCAACATTTTTATCACGTACAAGGTTGGCCGTTGGTGACAGCTTACTTGTAAGAATAATCTACCGGGGATTCCGGGAATTCCAAGAATACCCAGCTTTAGCTTATTATTCTTAGAATTTAAAGCGAGCACCGAGTGCCAAACAAATGATTTATATTTTAAATTCATGATTGGACTACGCGAAGTACTAGTAAACTGCTAATTAATATATATATAATAATACTATATTAGTTCTACAGAAATGATTTGTATGTCATAGTCAAAATAATTTATTCATATGGGACATTTGTTGCCACTTCTGTACGTTAAAATTCCCTATCTACAATGTTATGGATCATTAATTATACATATTATGGTTATTTCCTAAAACTAATTGAAACTTACATTATTTAGAAAGTTTTATATATATTGCAAATAATTAATGCTGTAATGAAACCTCCAAATCGACCTTCGCTGTGAGAATATATTCGGTAAACTTTAAATCTAATAATAATTTGATATATTTCCAGTAGGTAAGCCTAAAACAGCAAGCAGTTTGTTTTTTGGTAAATGGCATAATTATGTTTAATAAATGAAGTTCTTGTTTATTTTTTATGATGTATAGTTAGCTGTGAATTAATTGTGATAAAAGTTAAGAAGATATTCAGTGAGATTTTGTGAAAAATTGTCTAGGTAGATTAGGCTATCTATTTTGACCACCAAACAGCTTGCTTTGTGAGCTGCCAGCTCTTTAAACATTTATATATCAGGAAATACTTAGGCATATAGTCATTACACAACTATTTCCGAATTCGTAACAAGTACTAAAAACTAGTACACGAAATGTGTAGATGTGATATAATCGTATAACTTACGTCGACTAAAAAACTTTGTCTATAGGGCTATAGACAAAGTTTTTTTTTTATTTAGATACTGTAGTCTAATTTTCTTATACTAGAATTAATTATGTTACGACCTTGCAACGTAAATATGAGATATATATTATGTTTCAAGTTCAGGGATGCCAATTGTAAAAATGAATTTTGGTCATTGGTACGAGAATATTTTTATCCATATATAAGTTAAGTTTAAGTATTAGCATAGATAAGATAATAATGTATTAATTATAAGAGATTTTTAAATACGAAAATCATTTGAAATAATATGGTATATGAGGTTCGAGAGTCAAATTAAACCAATATGGAGATTTTACTACTTCTTTATACGGCGGACGAGGCTAAGTGTTTCTAGGATGGTAACCCTGCTCAAGTTATATCTGTGATATCATATTATATATTATATGATATAGAGCTATGGTATCCATAATTAATTTATATTCTATTAGAACTTTGCAAAACTAAATCTTATTGTTTTGTGTTTTGAAAATAAACTATTATTTAATTTGTAGTTAGACGAGTACTTTGAAGGACCTCGTTTCTCGAGACTGGACCTTTTATGTTTTCATTGTCTTTAATTTTCTTTTTCTAAGAATGTCAAAGAACAAACTAAATTGCTTTAGAATTTGTTTGTATTAGCAATAAAAGTTTCTTTTAATTATTATTGTTTAATATTCTCAAATAAATTTTCGTTTAATATGAAAATTTATGCTTTACTTTGAAAATAGCAATGGGAACTTAGAAATCTAATCCTCGTCATTCTCATAATCTAAAATGTCCTTGTTTGAAAATCTTGTCTTGGAGGATATTTCGTATAACAATTTAAATTGGTTACATTGAATCGGTTAGAGTAGATACTTTGTCTAGAAGCATTCCTTAAGATTTCCTTTGTTACAATTTGTTAGAAATTTCGTTATTAAGTTTCAGTTGTGTCGTCGCTAGGACCACTTCATCATTGTACGGGTCTTGTCTGATTTGATGACGTCAGAAGCAATTATTAAAGTAATTTTAACAGCTGACTCCAAAGATGGTCAAGTTTTACTCTAATTTGGGCAAACTTTGTTGTACCGCATTTGGAAAGTTTATTTCTATTTTATGTCGCGGTTATATTGTACAGACGGATTGTATTAAATTTTATCGAATTTAAATTTACAGTAGTTTAGTTACAATAGACAAAACTTAATGGAATGTGACTATGAAAGAATACAATAGTCTTTGATATTTAAAAATAAATAGTAGAGTAGATTCTTGAAGTGATTAATTTCATTTTATTAGTTAATAATATTCAGATTGTTGTAAATCAGGTGTTTTGCGGAGTTTACCTACTTGAAACTAATTTTGTATGACAAGAAGTAGTGATGTGCAGATAAAACAAATGCCTTTATGTGACAACTGAAAAAAGCATTGTATTGATCGATATTTTATTTTATCGTACTTTAGTCCGACTAGTTAAATATATGTATGCCTTTAATATATTTTACATGGAGATTTTCTTTGCAACCAGTTCTTACTTAAAAGTATTATAAATCAGGTTTTTCATAATACTTGCAAATCAACGGCGCTTATTGTTACGTACCCATGATTTGCTTCCATACATTGCACCTATTATATTAAATGTATCAGGTTAGTAAATGTTATAAGACAATAAACGATTACAATAATGGTTTTTATCACCTAAGCTATTTGTCTTGACCGCGAGCAGTAAATAGTGGCGAAGACAAATGTACGAGAGTACTATAAATCATTGTTCGCATGTGCGGGCGCGGTTTGCACCGCTCTGGTGCTCAAGTTCATAAATCTAAAAGTTTGCATCGCTAGTTTACCGCACTAAAGTTCCGCACTCGATTTAAAATTTAAATATCTAAATCCACCATCACATAACAGAATTAGGGTAGCGTTTGTACTGTACGAGTGTATGCACATACTTTGTCTATGTTTCAATATCCTACTTCCGAATTTGTCTATTACATTTTACATAAAGTGATGGGAAAAGGTAATATTATAAAGAGGAAAGATTTGTTTATAAATAATAACAATGTCATTATTATTAAGTATTTTCTTTTATCCATTATTCAGGTCAATTTACATAGCTCATGCATAGTAAATACATACATAATATATATATGTATATACTCACGAATATATGTTTGTATAGTGCGAAGAATCGATTCCGAACCATTGGAAGTAAGCCGATATTCAAAATCACTAGACCACTGAAATCTCACTTAATAGATTTTATAATATGAATTATATTTCATGCAGGCAGCATCGTGGTAGTTGAAGATAAATTCAGAAACTTATCTATTTATTCTCTTTTGTTGTGTAACTTCAACGAATACAATACATTTTCCATCTTAATTCATGCAGTTTTAAGATATGACTAGGAAAATTATAGCATCATTGTATCTTTCAACAGGTATTATAGTACTACTTACATTGGCGCTCCTCACTCCGTACTTTTACTTTATACCGCGGGCCGCCCTGGCCGCTGTCATTGTATGCGCCGTACTGCACATGGTCGATATTGCTATCATCAAGAAACTTTGGGCTACTAGTAGTAAGTATATTAAGTGTATTATTACTTTCGTTTAAGTGATTGTGTATTGTGACACTCTCAAGTGTGTGAATATCGAGTGTTTTGATAAAATGTTATAATATCCATTTCTTGCAATGTTGGATATGACTTCATAATTTTGGAGTACGGCCAAGATAAAGTGAGATGAAACAATTCAATGTAAGCTGACGCAGCTTCGCTTGAATGAACCAAATTAAATTAATTCGATAATATCGTTATATTAGATGAATTTATGTGCTTTTTGGAAGTTGTGGAATATAATTGGGTGAAGGTGGGTGTGATTTGTTTACATTTTTATATTCATCGGCATAGAAAAATTTTATATATAAATTTATCATCAGAAATCTAAACAATCTAAGTGAATTGGAGAATTACTTTGTTTTAGCAGTACAGTCTAAATATAAAATTAGTTACAACCTTTTATATTAAAGCTGTTTAATACACGATTAGTGGTAAAGTGTATATAAAGTCAAATACAACTAATAGTATTTATGAAATTGAATAACTATCCCAAAAGAATCGAAAAAGGTTTTTTCAAAACCTATATACAAACTGCGTTGTCACACGAACAATTTAGTATGCAAAATTAAAAAAATTGTTTTTATTTTGTTACTTGATGAAAATGGTTAAGTTTCATAATGGCTGCCTGGCTTTTGGCTTGGTATATCCCTTACTACTAACCCTATATATGTATAAGAACTAACCCTGTAGTTACCGCAAGAATAAAATATTAATGAGTTTCCTTTATACGCACTAGAGCTGTACGTGTTATTCTACAAAATCACGCGTAATATAATTGTAAAATAATTTCAGCAGGTTGGGTATGGCAGGATTTCTAAATGACAATTAGTAGGCCAGTCGTATGTAATACGAGTATAGCGTACGTTTTAGTGTTGTGCGTGGTCTTATAGTTATCCCAATATTTGTGGACCACTTTTATAAATTAAACTGTAACTGATTGCAGTATCTAGAATATTATTGTAATTGTAAAGTTAACAAATTAACTTTAACTAAAAAACAGTATAATAAAGTAACTCAGTTAGATATCATGTTTCGTTAACTTCTTTTGAAGTAATATTGGCCACTCTTACTTTTATTATTGCTGTATAATTAATATAAAAGTCATTATTAAGTTTGCTTTTGGTATGGCGTTGGTAAGGAATTTCTTTTTGATTTTCCTGGACTACTTTATAATTAACCAAAACAAAAGTTAAAATACAATAAGTGGACACGAATAAGCTTATGAGTTATGAAACTCTAAATTGGATATTCATATTATTATTACACAATATTAATTCTACACGAATGGAGTCACGGGAAAACATATTGTCGACGGTGGATACAAATTAATGCGGAAATGGGAAAAACAAATTGAATAATAAACACTACCATTTAGTAGCAAATCCTACCCGTATTCTCAGGGGGCCCCTCATAATCCGCAAAGATTATATAAGCAAATCCAGAAATTTCATCACTATCCCAGCGGACGGCCTATTAATTATTCCCACTGGATTTTAAATTAAGCTCTCTGCACACGTTACAGCTTCATATCACTGCGGGACCGATAACGGAGATAACTCTATAGAAAGTTTTGAACTTATTTGGAATAACTATTTAGTTTCATATGGGAACTAATTGTGTATTAACATAGATATATTTATTTTTGTTAATACAAGTAAGGACTAGGAAAGTCATGGTAGGATATAACATTCGATTTTTGTGCTAGAAAAATGGTTAGAACTTTATTAAGATAGTAACTCAGGGCGAGTTATCCCTTTTGCTAGTTTAAATAGTTTTGAAAATTTATTGTACTCGCAGTTAATATATTCTATTTAGAATTTTATTACATATTTTATGATCAAAATTAATTTTATACTTAGCTTGTCAATTGTAATAACTTTTAGATATAATATCTAATCGAATCGTAATAACTATCTAGTTTTACAAGGGAACTAATTATTTAAATTAAATTAAATCTATTACATTGAATAACCCATTCATATATTTGTATGCTGTTAAACAATTTTAAGTGTAGAGTAGCTTAAATGATTTGTGGGAAGTAGAAATAAAGTATATCAAGCCTTCTTGTCTGCTCAAGAAAGCCCTAAAATACTATGTAATACAAAACCAAGGATAAAAGATGTAAAAAAAAATCCCAATAAAACCTAGTCTAGTCCAGCGTGGTGAAAAATCATCTTATAACAAAATTTTATGGGTAGACCAAGTTTTATTTTTTTCACAGGACTGGACATCATCCCATTAGTGGGAACATTTGTCTGCTGCCTAGTACTGGGTATAGAACTTGGTCTTATCTGCGGAGTGGGCGTTGACGTGGTATTATTGCTCTATTATCACTCCCGGCCGCCGCTTCGAATAGAGTTCGCTGATGTGAGTTTATGTATTTTATCTACAGAAACTTTTAGAATATCTCATTCACATATTATATATCTGTGTCATGTATACCTTAAAACCGTTAATGTCATTAAATTGAAATTAACATTATAGAAACGGAACAAGAATGAGAAGTAAGTATTTTGATGCAAAGACGTAAAATATAAGGTATATTTTAGTCATTGCATCAAAATACTATACTATAGGGAGATAAAATACCACGTCTATAAGTAAGTCAAATAATTACAGTTATTAATAATAAATTGTTCTGTGTATTTAATGAACAAGTTATGTTGACTTTTTATGACTATAAACTGTTTCGCCTTCATTCCGAATGTGTATGTATAGTACATTTATCGATGCAGCTTTCTTTTTTAATCAGAGATATAATAACGTGTAAACTATAATGTAATTTACAATGTAATTTTTAAGGTATCAATGTGTATTTTTAATCTCTTACTTTATACATTCATTGCCGTAATAACTGTTACGCTTAATTTATCCTCCTCATCAACATTTTATGTTATAGGATGGTATCCTTCCACCTCATTACGCCATACATCCAGTCGGGGGGCTGCATTTTGCTGGCGCGGAAAGAGTTCGCTCTCAATTAATTTCATTAAGGAACACTAAAATCCCGAACACGCGACTGGAAGGTTTAACCGTTGTAACGGACGACAATATCGCTACAATACCCCGCGATCCTGTGGCCAATGGCACAATAGCCGTGGGAAACGGTAACAATGTAGGAAATGGTAACAATGTGGGAAATACGGATAATTTCGTGGCGAATGGCACGGGAGGGGCGGAAAGAGGAAGATCGGCGAATATACTGGTGATTTATTGCGACGCCTTGTACAGGATGGATTATACATTTTTGCAGGTGAGTTATGACGATACTAAACTTGTGAATGTGCATTTGAAATTTTTCTCTTCCAAGATATATCTACGTTTCTTCACTGAAATAGTGTTTTTATATTACATCTTTTTATCAATATATATACGAGTACGTTATGTTAGATCATTGTAGATCAGTGGTAGCATCGTAGCTAAAAGATCGTGAGTTCAAATCTGGTTCGAATAAAAAAAATATTTTATGCTTTATGTATCAAAAAACACCGATACACAACGGAAATTAATCCGAGAGAAGACCGCTCCCACTCACCTCACTCTCTCCCATGATGATTTAAGTATTACATATTTTTGAAATGATGTCATGTTAGGTGTTGTGTTCAATATGTAGTCGATAACTGACATACCATGACTACATCATTTAGGATAACAGTGATGACAATATGTATTTCTTTGATACTGTTCATGTCAAAGAATGTTATGATAACATATAGAAAATACACTAAAGAAAAGGCATAAATAATATTTTAAAGGATACATGTATAGTTACAATAGAGGTTTACTATCCCTTAAAGGTCATGTATATCTGATATAAGATATTTTATAACTATATAAAAAATAACTGACAAAATAACACACACTGTACAGAAAATAGGAGCGGAAACCTTAATAGTTTATTAGGTTTATGAATTGATCCACACCAAGTCGGCCTTTTACAGGTAAAGCTAAAGACGTAATAAGGAAAAATACTTCATTTTACGAATATTAATTTTAAAAGATTTATGCAGACTTACAAGAAAATCTTTTAGTAGGTACTATAAACCTTGAATGCTTAACGTTTGATATTTTGTATTTAATCGAATAACATTTCGTTTTTTTATATTTATATATTCAACTTACCTATTGATTTCATTAATAACTGCTGAAAATACATTTTATTTATAGGAAATTTATTATTAAATATAAATGGAAATACAATATACATTACGTATTAAGTATATCTATATAAAACATAAGATTAGCGACAAACATAAAATGACTACATGTTTCATATTTCTCAAAAATATGGTTTTAATTATTTATACGTACACTTTTACTAATTATCATATTTTAACCTTAAAATATATTTAACTTTTAGTCTTTGTGTTTAAAAATATTTACTTTATAATATAATAATTGAAATAAATACAATAACCCTCGGCTATTTCATTAAACAGAGGCAATATTATTTTAGTGAATATTTAAACACAATTTAATATTCTGACAGCATAAAGCCGCAACGTCAAAACGCATGCAGCGTTGATGTGAAACCGCAAAGTTTACGTTTATTATTATACACATGTTTTATATACTTACAAAATACTTATTTTTAGACATTAATAATAATATAAAAACCTGTCAATAAAATTTAAACTAGACTAAAGATAAATTAACACAGCGACTGAGAACTGAACCAAAATTGAATTCATGTTGATACATACTTTCTATTTTCAAAATATTCTTCCTTTTTAGAAGCATTGTCAAAAAAAGAAATGTTTACAAATAGCAGTACAGATTCACATAAAAATGCTTTGATTCTAATTGAGACGGGCTTTCATATGCGGAAAAATCTTCAAAAGTAAATAATTACTTACAAATACACCATGCTGAAATAAATATTGTTATACAGACTTTATATTGTCATACAAAAATATTTTTACCTACTGACTGAAGTCTGGTATTAATATTTATTATGAAATCATTATAACATTTCTAAATATGACAATTCCTATTGTAATTCAAAATCTTTAATATGTAAAATTGTATACATTCACATAATGTCTTTAGGTAAATACTGAGAATATTATAATTAATTTCTGTGTTACATGCTCATTCTCTAACTTCTCACTGGTATACGCGTGGGATTTGTTGAAGATAATATGACTAACTAATTGTGTTTCAGTACTTAAAAAAGTTACTCTACAATCATTGTCTTCGGTAGATTTGATTATACTTTTAAAATATTGTGCACCATTGCTCGCTCTCCTAGAAAACATAAACATCCTTTCTGTAACTATCGGGATAATAAAAGATGTACAATAGTATATAATATACAACCTCAATAGATTGATATAAAATCACCATCAACAAACATTTTTTATAAACCATACATATGTTTTTATTATGTCACGGTCATGTGCATTGATTTAGTGTGAAAAAAATATTTTCTATCTTCAATTTGCATTCGGTACAATGAATGCGGTACAATTTCATTTCATGAATTCACTCCCAGCTTTCGGCTTAATAATTATATACTTTAGGACCAACACTGTTTATCAGATTAAATATTATCTGACAGAGCTACAGCGCAGCGTGCCCGGGTTTAGCTAGTTATCTCATAAAACAATAGTATAACAAACATATTTTAAAGTCAGTTGAATACAGAAAACATAACTAAAAACCTTGGTTTTTGATATACACGTAATATTTATATAAAGAGATTTACTAGTTTTCATTCCGGTAACACTATGCCCCAGTCGCGTGGTCGAATAGCGTGCAAAAACTATCTAATATTTTTTTAAACTTTATTGCTTTTGTTTGCAGAGTATTAAAATGCTAGTGACAGAATGGTCGAAAACAGGACAGGTTATTTGGTGTAATACGAGGCCTGGTATCAAAGATCAACTCAATAGTGTTCTACATGAGCCCATATACTGTGATAACGATTTAAGAATGTTCCTATTACGTGAGTATTTTTTCTAGTAAATAAACTAAATATCTGCATTACTTCATTATGCCTCACAATAAATATAGCGAAAAATTCTTTTTTAAACATTTTAATTTAGAATTTGTCAATAAAAATACTTTAACTTTTTTTTATAATAATCACACTACATAATGTGTCTGACGTGGAATGTTTGCCACATTTCAATTAATTACTAGTAACTTGTATATTAAAAAAAAACATACTGTATTGTTTATTGTTACTGCAATTATACAGACATTATTAACTAAACTATTAGTTCAATGCTGTAGTTTTAACTGTAATATAATTAGTTAATTGAAGATTGCCCATTAGAAATTTGTGATATAAGTTAACTTACATAAATAATGTCACGTTATTCCTATGGGAAAACCCCTGTTTTGAAATTGTGTATTTTATATTTTAACATAATACTACCGGTTCAGCACACCGCGCCGCTTTACTTCCGATGGTTGCGGGTTCGATTCCTCGCATGGTGTAAATATTTGTACTCATAGGTACGATTGTTTTTGTCGGCCTGGGTGTTTTCTAAGTATTTTATGTATGTATGTACAAAAAAATATCTAAGTTATTAACTGGTATAACAGTTGTCTAATACCCATAACAGAAGCTCTGCTTAACGTAGGACTAGGTGGCGCTGTGTTAATTATCCAGGGTTATTTAAGTACTATAAATATACCTACAGAAAACTTGTTCTTTTTGTATACTATTATAACTATATTACAAAACTGCTGCAGAAAAATTTGTAGTTATTTAGATTAGTTCGGTACCCACTGAGAAAAGATTCTTTATACGTATGTAAATATTATATTAAATAGTAAAACAAATATTTTATTCATATAGAACATTTAGCCACTTATGAACGTATTGTTGTTATCACTATCCCTATCATCCATGTTGAATTCTTAGAGGAAAGGAAAATCTCTTTACAAAGTAAACATACTACAATAATACATGCAATTTATTGTAATCTTGTTGTTAGATTGTATTGTACTAAACGGTTACGAACCACATGACGTGTTTTACAATGGCTCCACACCACATTGAGGCCAAGACCCCTCTGTGAAAAGCACTTCTATTAAATATTAATATTTTAGGTTATCATACAATTGCCAGTTATCAATATTAGCAGCCATGTTATCATTTCTATTAGTCAGAAATATGTACATGGCACGTTACGATAATATTGACATGCCTTGTTCATGTATTTTCAATCATGATAAATATTAAAATGCAAATGTAACTAATATATTTGTATTAAGTAAATAAGAATAATAATAATCTCAGGACAATTCACACAGCGCCATCTAGTCCCAAGTTAAGCTTTCTAAAGCCTGTGTTACGGGTACTATATAACTGATACAAGCATATACATAATTTTTTCTCGTAAATACATACATATTATACATAGATACATTCAGACCGATACAAACAATCATACTCATAAATACAAATTTTGTGCCGTGCGAGGAATCGAACCCGCGACCATCAGACGTAAAGCGGTGTGCTAGACCGCTAGACCACCAAGGTCAAATAACCTCAGACATAAAGAAACATTACTAATTATAGTTGTACTTATTATAAAAGGGTTTTGATCTTGAAAATGTCGCAAAGTAATGTGTAATTCAATGAAATAACTAAAGCTGCTTTGATTTTCTTTTTTGAAGGAATTTTAGTATACTTAATCTTTTACGTATCTATTTCAATAATATTATAAACGCGAATGTTTGTGCGTATGGATGTTTGTTACTTTTTTACGCAAAAACTACTGAACGGATTTTGATGAAACTTACACTTACAGTAATTTAGCTTATGCATCAGAATAATATAGGCTACATTTTTTATTGAAATTAACACAGACACAGCTAGTATGTAATAAAATGAAATTTACAATCGTATAGGATTTACATTGCTTCAATCAGAACAAGTCTTTTAGTAGGCAAAAGTGTTTTTAAAATTGCTATTGTAAATCCTTACTCCTTACTAATATTATAAATGCGAAAGTAAATCTGTCTGTCTGTCTGTCTGTCTCGCTTTCACGCCAAAACTACTGAACCGATTTAAATAAAATTTGGTACACAGATAGTCTAAACCCTGAGAAAGGCCATAGGCTACTTTTTAATACGAAAATAGGGTTGTAAGGGGTTGAAATTGGGGATGAAAGATTGTATGGAAGAATCGTCATTTTTGAAGCTAGAAGATTGAAACTTATTTTTGAGGCTGCTAATTAAATATAAATAAATATGACATACAAAGTTTTTAAAAATTTTACCCTTAAGGGGCTTAAATATATTAGGGGATAATTTTTTTTATGTAAATTCGTCATTTTTGAAGCCAGAGGCTTGAATCTTATTTTTGATGCTGTTGATTAAATATAAATAAATAGACCTACAAAGTTTTAAAAATATTACCCTTAAAGGGGTAAAATAATATAGGGGATGAAAGTTTTTATGTAAATTCGTCATTATTAACGTTAAAACGATGACCGAAACCTTTTTATTGGCTTTTTGAGTTAGTTTATTAAATTCCTTACTAATATTATAACTGTGAAAGTAACTCTGTCTGTCTGTCAGTCTTACTTACACGCTAAAACTACTTAACAGATTTAAGTGAAATTTGGTACACAATTAGTCTAGATCGTGAGAAAGCACATAGGATACTTTTGGATGCGAAAAAAAGGTTGTAAGGGGGTTGAAATGGTAGATGCAAGGTTGTACGTAAGAATCATCATTTTTAAAGGTAGAAGCTAGAAACTTATATTTTAGGTTGGTGATTAAATATGAATAAATTTTCAAAGTTTTTAAAATTTTCCCCTTAAGAGGGTAAAATCAAATAGGGAATGAAAGATTTTAGGTAAATTCGTCATTTATTAAGTCAGAAGCTTGAAACTTATTTTTGAGGCTGTTGATTAAATATAAATAAAGAAAAATGGGTTGTAATGAATTTAAAGGAGAGTTAAATGTTTATATGGAAATATTGTCATTTTTAAAGCTAGAAGCTTGAAGGTTAATTTTTAGCCTATTTATTCAATATATATTTAGAAAAAGAGTTATAAGGGGTTGAAAGAGTTATGTATGGAGGTGTCGTCATTTTTGAAGCAAAAAGGATGAAACTTTTTCATTTGGCTTTTATTGGGTTAGGTCATTAATTTTTTTTTTCATTATTTGGTCAAGGTCACTATTTTACGCGGACGAAGTCGCGGGTACAGCTAGTTTACAATATATGTGAATAAAATAAAATGATAATGGTAATATAGCGTCATAATTTGTATATCGGATGGGGCAGGCAGAGGTATTTTAAATAGTCACCTGACATGTCCTTTCCCTGGGTCCAACTTTAGAATTATACTAATAAGTAGGAATATATACGACTTACTTATACATGTGATGTTAATTATCACCAGCTTCTTCCTTATTCCATTTATTTGCGGTCGGCGTAATATGTTGATCTCTTCCATTCATCTCTGTTCGCAGTCATCTCGTTATTTACTCCATTTCTTAATCATATCGTCTTTCACACAGTTCATCCATCTCTTTTTCGGCGTTCCTCGGTCCTTATCCACATTCATATATAACACCTTTTTCAAAATATTATCTATGTGACAATAATTATATATATACGAAATTGGCTGTACGAATTTACCAGTGCGATTATGAAAGTGTATCACCATTAGGCCGTCAAATATTTATTTGTGAACATTAGTAGATCCGATATCCATGGTGGGCTATATGCATCGACAATAATTTCTGCTATTCCGATTGAATTGTTAACATTCGATTTTCAATTAATATTATTGTTTCAGGTATATCTGCGGTTGATGAACAACAAGCGTTCAACGATACGCCGCTTTAACAAAACTGCGGTGTACTAACCGCAGAACATATTAGTAAATATTTGGAAATGCGCTCTTTGTAAATAAAATTATTTAAGTTTATTTAATAAGTACTTTGGTCGTTTTCTTGAGTATACCCTATTAATTATATGAGACCAATGATAATAACACAAACAAACAAAGTAATTACCTATAGACAATCACTGAATATGTATAGGTACCTACGAGTACATACGTAAACATGATAAAGCTCATCGTATGGGTAATTATATTAGTCTATACGCAGACATTACACAATATTTGAACATATTATAAGTAGAGGGTTTGAGCAATAATAAATATATTATTACATACATTATAATAGATATAAGATAATATCTCCATAGAAACCAATGACATTAAAAAACATACATAGTCTACTTGATGAATAGTTGGTTCCTAGAATGGTAAGTATGATAATATTATATATGATATATTATATATATATATACATATATATATATATATAGGTATAATAGATATGCTATTTACCAGAATTGTATCTCATACTAAGAATTATGATGCAAACAACTTATGGTAATATGCGGTAATTCTGTCATCAAAAACCCTTGTGCTCAAATGTGTTTATCGTGTAGTTAAATAGTAACAATGAGAAGTTATTAATATCCTATATGTACTAATAGTGTACTTATAGTCTTATAAAACACCGACAGATTAATTACTTTACGTCATTGTTGTAATGTCAGACGTCAGAAATCATTCCCAATTCCTAAATTGATTATGAATATAATCAGGCCTGTGAGTAAAATTACTGCTGGCTTTTAATAATAGTGACGACTTAATATTACACTAGTTAACCCGCGCAACTTCATTTGTATCACATTTTTCAATTCCGCTTTGCTTCTATTGATAGTAGCGTGATGTTATACAACCTACAACCTTTCATGATAAATAGTTCATGCAATACGAAAAACGAATTTTCAAAATAGGAATAGTAGTGCCGGAGATTAATTTGCACATTCAAACTCACAAATTTTACATCTTTATAATATCAGTCAGTATCTATTGATTAACACAATATCAGAAAAACTAGATGGTATTATTATAGAACTTGTACTTCATAAACCAATATATACCTACAAAGTTTATACTTTTGGTACAGTTGTATATAACTTTGGTAAAACTAATATTTTAGGTAAGAATAACATAGCCATAATTATGGCCAGTGATATGATCTCAACTGTCCTGACCTACGTCTACGGTTGGAACGTTCCGACCCTCGGAATTTTGCGGATTGTCTGTCCATATCTGTTCGGTCTTAACGACGATATGAAGGTAATCAAAGTTAGCAAAATTTCACATTCACTTTTGTATTTGTATTCGTAAATGGCTATTGTCCCTTATAATATTCGCCTATCTTTCTGAGATCGAACTGCCAATTTGGTTAAATGAAAGCGTATGAGTGGAATCACTAATATAGACATAAATAAGTAGAACACTTGTTCTAGTTCTTTGAATATGTAAAAGTAAAAGTAAAGAATTTTGATTATTTATAAACTAATAAATCTTCGTCTGTACAAATTCTCATCCTTATTTTATCTCTTTCTTAATTATGATTTGGCATAAAATATAGTGAACTATCTTCAAATAAAGGCATAAAAGTTGTTCATTAAGGTTATGATGAGAAGACAAATAGATTTAGAATGAAATTTAAATGCTAATTAATTATTTATTGGTACCAATCCCAGAATTAGTAGGTACGCTCAAAAGTTAGTACTTTATTTAGTACCACCTGATGACCAAATATGACATAAATGTATAAAAACTAGTTATCTGCCCGAGCTAAGCATGGATAAATGTATCGTAGACAACTCTAATACTTATGTTACTCGCTAATGATGGCGCTATATGTATACCTACTTACTGTATATTTTTAACATTCGGTGAGTGACTTATATTGTTAGGATATATCTACCTACCTACCCTTTTCTTACTTAACTGAATCCAACTCTTTCTCCTAATTGATTGGCCATGAGTTAAATGGTAGAGTGCTACATGACAGGTCTGGGCGGTATTGTATTTAGCGTGAAGTAATAATGAATGCGTTGTTATTGATTTGAAACAGAAATAAAACCATGTAAGTAAATAGTGGAAAACTACAAATGTAGGTTGCATAAGTCTGCCTACAGTATGTAAATAAAAAGGTGCCTTAAAGTACTTACTCAAAATGATTCGTTCTGTGATTTTCAATGGTTGAAGTATATAATAAAAACTAACTTTTATTCGTGGCTACGTCTGCGGCGACTTTTACTATACATTGCTTCATATAAATGAACCCTGATAGGGTTAGACTGTAAAAACCCATCTACGTGGGTCCTAGACTCAACTATTTTATACGCCAATCCGCCAAGCAGCTGCTAAAATATAAAATAGCTTGCTTTACGTATGTACGTATGCTAAATTTTATTAAAGTTTCGTATCCGTTTCCAGGTGATTGAGTTAATTTCGTATTATAATACATACCTCTGACTACTCTATTGGCGATGGAACTGGTCAACATATATATTTATTCAAATTGTATATATTATTTTTTTGCATGTTATCGAGTAATTAGTGAAATTGAAGTTTCTTCATTTGTCATAGCCAGTAAAATTAATTCACCGTGTCGCCAACCTTTATATATATAACTAAATGTTGCGAAAAGAAACACTTCAGTAGTGAGTACATTGAAAGTTACCATGAAGTTGCTCAGTTTTTTAGTTTTGATCGTTCTAGCCGCTAGCGTGGTGGACGGCAATTATGGAATGGCTCAGAAACCTCATTACGACCTACGAGACGCTCCTATGCTGTTCACCAACTTTGTACAGAAATATAACAGACACTACAGCAGCCCAGAAGATATGATGACACACTATTTGGCTTTTGTTGAATCTTTGAATAAAATAAATATCCGTAATGATGATCCGAATAACAGAGCTGTTTTCGATATAACTAAATTGGCAGATTATACGGCTGAGGATATGGCAAAAATAACTGGATTAAGTTAGTAAATTTCTACATATACTTTTATTTGTACATAACTTGTTTCTACATAACTGTTATTGGAATTAATCGAAATAATGTCTTTATTCATTCGGTTGTCACATTTTGATGCATTCAATGCAATTAAATAAAATTAATAAAAATGTAATAAAAGAAAACATCAATTACAAATTTATATATTATACATCTACCTATTTATATATTTTTGATTTCAGAAATTAATTAAAATGTTCATCCAGTTATTCAACTCAAGAAACACTACTTTGAACGTCAAGAAACAAAAGTGGGCAAGGCAATAATCATCGTTTTGATAATACAATTAAACACGTAAATATGTATAATGTAGCTATATTTATTTCATGCCTCTTTATTTTCTTCAAATCTACGTAAATTACTGTAAGACTAAACAGTTTTATGTATAGTCTATATATCTATACTGCAATCAAAAATCAAAGAGTGCCTCTGTATGTTACAATTACTATTGAATACAATATGCCAAATATTATGTACTATATATATACTTATATAAAACGAATCTATTGCAATCTCTTGTATTTTTTTATAGATGATAATGGAATGGTGTACTCGCCTGCGCTAACGGTTTACGCAGGGGAAGATGACAAGATGAGTATGAGGTCAGGATAGTTAGCTCATCGTGACAATTTCACTAAGAATTTATCACGATGGAATCTCTTTTATAAATTTTGTTTGTTATCTATACCGGGGACGTTTCCGTCGTTAGTTAGAAACAGCAATATAAAGTATTTTAGTTGGGGTAGTCATAACCTTTGGGAGTTGCAAGATATTACAACATTAGCTCATGCCTAAGTAATACTAGCTATTAACAGTGACTTTATCTGCACAGTCTTTCATAAAATATAGCCTATGTAGGAACATATACATACCGCTGGGTAAACACAGTTCGATTTTCCAATGTGAATGTGTTGCCCTGACTGAGGCAGCAAGAGCCCTTCACAGGTTAGGTGTCAATAACTTCAACATTAAATCAATCATCGTAGAGTGCGTAGCAGTGGTCACACAACGAAAACAAATCCTCGGAATGGTGAGTTTGCTCCGTGAAACCTGTGAAGACACCAGGAGACTTCTGTGCTTTTGGGAGGTGCTGGAGGGCTGACTACTCTAGTAGTCTCGGCTCTACACGTACGACCGCACCGATGCTCTCATCGGTGCGGTTAGGTAGAGACTGATTGCGGAAAATGGAGTCCAACTTACATTACATTAGCCTATCTTTTTGTCAAATTTAAGCCATTTAGTCGTGAAAAGGTAATAAAAAGTTAGATAGACACACTTTCGCATTACGTTATATAATATATTGTATATATAATATATATATTGTGGTATTGTATTATATTATTTAACAATTACAATAATGTATTTTATATAATACTTGACTATAATTAACTTTCAAAAGTTAGGTGTGATAGGTTTGGCAACTTCACGACGATTTATAAACGGCATTACATAAACGTACGAAACCGGCAAAAATGTTATTTTGATCATACTTACTTTAAAAACAATAACAAAATTTTATTGCCAAACGTCTGCATTATTTTAATAACGTATGAACATACTGATTACATAGGCGAAAATTCTGAATACAATATTTACGTAAATATTACTATATCTTTGTATCAGTTATCTATTACCCATAACACAAGCTTTAGCTAGCCTAATTTGGGTCTAGATGGAGCTGTGTGAATTGTCCTGATACCTACTATTATTAAAATGTAAACATCTTTTTTTAAAAAATGTTTCGTTACTTCTATTGCTGAATAATATTTTTTTAGGATTGTAGCACAGCTAAACGTACTCATTTACAGCATTTTATGTTAAAGTACTTCGTCGTAACAGATGATTAACAAAAGTATATATTTTTTAATTAAAATAAAACATATTTATTATATCTACAACATGTGTACTCGTTTATACCTACTTACAACTGCTAAAAATATTACGATATAAAATAAGTATACAAAGCAAATGTCCTCCTTTTTTGAAGTTGGTTAAAAATTATAATTAAACATGTACACAAAAGCTGACAGAGTACTTATAAATTATATTATTTATTTGTAATAAATATTTTTAAGTTATTGCTAATAACTTAAATAACTTAATTAAATCGATCTTAAAGACAGTTCAGGGGCATAATCCGGAAATATGCTTCAACTAGCGCCATCTCTTGGTATATGCCTCATTTAAGCAATGTGTGAAAGCATGATAACTATGGAGCATAAATGTCAACTTCAAAGTATAAATATATATACGTCGATCATTGTTGATTTGAATAATTAGTATAGTTTGTAAATAAATATATCGATTTGAAATCATTATTACAATGTATATAAGAATGAAATAAGTGATAAAAGTTTACGATCCTGGCAACATTGCCTCTCTATTAATATTAGTATTTACGATCCAGGCCAAGTTAGAGTACAATTACGAATGTTACATGTTGTTAAAGTTTATAGTCCTTAGTATATTATTTGTAGGTTCTATTTGTCGTAAATATAAGGCTTTATTTATTACAATTTATGGCTAACTTATAGGAGTTGTGACATCCCCATGACATACATATTCTAGGACACTAATATTAAACATTGTAGTAAAACAAAACAATATTTAACATTTTACGATGCATTGTTAAAATTAAATGTCACATACCAACAAAATTATAGACAAAATTTTATTAAACAGCAATTTATTACAACAAACTGACGTTTCTAATGCGTAGTCTGTGAGTCACTATGCATATTTATTAATGTGACTGCAAACAAAGCGAGTTCACTGTAGCAGCAATACTACGCAACATGAAGTTGTTTTGTGTCGTGTTATTTGTTGTAGTCACCATGGCAAGTGCGGACGATACTCCTAAGAAGCAATACTATAATGTCAATGAGGCACCTTTGTTATTTGAAAAGTTTGTGCAGGATCACAGCAGACAATACAAGGATGAAACAGACAGGCAAGCCCATTATGAGGCGTTCGTAAAAAGTTTACATAGTATAAATGAGATGAACGCAAAGCAACCTCACGCAACTTTTGCCATCAACAAATTCGCTGATTACACTGAGGACGAAAAGAAATCTATGTTTGGATTTAAAAGTACGTATTGAAAATTATTACTTAATCATAACCTAAATAATTTGTACGTTTTTGCTGTGTGGGCGCTGATTTGTCAACGTACATATTATTTGGATTAGTTCTTCCATTTATCACCGATAATATCTGATAACGTGGTGTTAGATATTTATTATACGCTGAAATAAAAATACTAACTTCCAATAGTTCTGCAAACATTAAAAGATAAATTCTGATAGGTTTATAGGTAGACTGTACCACAAATAATAATGATATGACGTAAACAATGTTGATGTATATAAGTATACATATATTCAGAAATTCGATGATTATGTTATATTTTTTTATTAAATATAACTTTATATTATAAGAGAACTATTCCAACTTTCACGTAGTTTCTACAGATAATACAGATTGTTTTTTATTTATGGATACTCAATATTTTTTTCTATAGGTGAATCAGTTTATAAAATCGAATAATAATTTTTTGTAGTCATCTATAATTAATTATTTTTTACAGGGCCTTAAAAGGCGTTTTTTACAAAATGTAAAATATATATAAGAAAATCATATTCATAATTGATGAAAATTTTGAAGCGGCCATGGGTGTTGGTAGTACAAAATGCAGAATCTCCACTCATTCGGATGTGTTCAATCATTTAATATATTACTAGACAATATATCCTTTCTGTAATTTAATAAAATTTGTTTTATTTTTGTAGTCATGTATGTAAATCATAAAATGATTATTGAGACTGATCTCTTCGCTTACCTATCTGTCATAACATAAATAGACGAATTTATGTTTTCGAATTTTTAAACTGCTTGAAATGAAAATGTAGTAGACTATTTGTATAGTACTATGCACATCACAGAATGATGTACACAATACTTCTTTGTTCCAACTTAGTACTAAGTAATATAAAAGTAAAATAAAAATAATGCATCTGAGCAAATGCTTGTATTAAAAACAGCTAACGGATTCCAAGGTACTCCTGCAAATTACTTTTTCTATTGCAGATAATATTGTAATATAGAAATGCGGCTATCTATCATCATACACAAGTGTTCCGCTAGCACATAGCTTTAGCGTAAGATCATCATTCCATGATTGGTGTCCAGAAGATGTTTGGTATAGCCATCTGTGACATGAATTTAGAGACAGAAGAGCAGTAGGACTAGAATACGAGCGTAACTGTATTTTTTAAAAATCGTATCTAGTACACGTGTACTTAGTTTTAGATATTAGGGAGTCAATTATTTGTTGATATCAATTACTTATAAATTTTGAATAATTATAGGCACCTAAATACATAATTATTATTCTCGTGCAGTAAACATTGTACTACTATCAGAATGCTGATAAAATAGAAATAAACAACATTAATTGCATTTGTACCTACTATGTACATATAATGCGGTTATTGTCCAGACCATATAATGATATATTGTTCTGTTTTATTTAACTTGGACTGAATACAAGTACGTTATTAGATTATTACAATATAGATAAGTTAATTACATATGGACGTATCATATTGTTCATTTAATAAATATACTTAAAACAACATTCAATTAACTTTATATAGAAAGAAATTAAAGTTATAGTCATATTTATGATTCTTTTGATAAAAATGACTTTTCCAGAACTTTCAAATTGCTGCATGGATATTAATACCAAGACTAATAAAATCAAAGCATTTATTTACTTTATAACTATGAGTAGCATATATACCTATTATTATATCTCATTGGATGCCTACATTTGTTTTTTATGATTATATTAGTACCGCCAACGATTATTCTCAGCACTACCTGTAGTGACTGGTAGAAAATACCACATGGTGTTAAGTCCGCGAAATGTATTGTACTTTTTATACTGTGTACATTAAAGTGATATAAGTTAAAAATATAATAATAGGTGTTGTACCTATTTGGTAGCTATTTTATCGTGGTTTAATATCAGTATATGATGAGGATTGGGTAAAATGCTGTAATTTTTAAAATTTTATATTGAATGTCTAGATTATCTATCGGTAGGATGAATAATATAATAATAAGATACGATGTTTCTATTAGGATTGTTAGGTGTAACAATTTAAGTAAATAATATAAATAAGGTAGTTGTTCAATTAGTAGTAGTAGTTCTCTGTTCTACGTCATTTCCTATACCATAATATAAAAAAAAATGTGCTAATTGAGTTTTTGGCAGTTCTCAAATGAACCGTGTAGCGAAAATGGACAAAGGTAGCAATTTAAAAAAAATGCAGGCATAAGTGGGCGAAAAAAAATCTTAGTATATGATAAATGTTTTTTAATTCAATTGTACTTAAAAATTTATTTATTCCATAAGAGAATTCTTGAGGACTTACAATGCCGAAATACCTTTTATTTAATAGTAGTCAAATTAAAGAATAAATAATATTGACTACGATAAATTTACATTAATAGATGTCTACAATAAAAGAATAAATAAAGTTGGCTATATTATTTATTCTTTAAGTACTATTAATGTAAATATAAAAACTCAGTATATATGTAAATTCAGTGTTTCGGCACAAGTATAAAATAATTAAATGTTGGATTTCAGATATGTAACTGATATTAGATATACAAAGAAATAAGCCTATTTGTATATAATTTGAAGTATTAACTCTTCTATGAATGCTATATTAGTAATCTATGGCCTTATGTATATGGTCATAGGGATTGAGGTTGAGAAATGCGGAAAAAGGAAAGAATAAATAGAAACAAGCAATTATATCTATACAGTATAAGTAAGTAGGTATACTTACTAAATCATAAACGAACGTATGGTATTATCTAAGGCACTCATACTATAATAATAGAAACCTATTGTTTATGTTTATTGAAATACTAAGACATAATGGTCTTTGTTTGTGATAAATTGCCTATTCACATTATAAGTGTAATAAAAAATTCTTGTACATGTATAATATAGTAGTACAGTTTACGTATATAATAATAAAAAAATATAGTATCAGATTCAAACCTAGTAGTTATATTAAATTTCTAGGTGACTATAAATAATCTGTAAGTACTTAGACATAATTATTCATAATTTATCTTGCCTTCATTAGTTGTTTTTAAATCATCATTAAGTAATAGATACCTGAATAATAGGAGACAATTAGTACTTTCTACAAATTGTCTGCTATTAGAACTGTAATTAATATTTTTAACTCGTCTTTTAAGTGTAAATAATTATACGTGTACATGTCACGCAAAAACCGACTTCAATCGTATTATTAAGGATAACTCAAAAACTACTTTTCAGATCTTAATAAAAATTATATAAAGCACCAACTTTCAAATAAACATCAAAACAAATTCAAAACAAGTTCACGTAAAAAGGCAATTCTGAGGTAAGAAACATTAAAAAAGTATAATGGTTTTTTATGTAAGAATAAAATGGCTTTTGTTAATCACATGAAACAAGTAATAATATAGATAGTATAACGCAATAAGATGTAATTCTGTAAACCAAGAGCCTAAACAATAAAAATAACAACTATCACGCCATCGTACTGAAAAACAAAACGCGAGGTTTTATTTCCGCAAACGATACAAGGGGTAAATTGAAACGCGGGTTGGGGGACACGAATTGGTGGGTTTGAGCACCATGCGGAACCATTTCGGGGATTTGTCGGACCCTCGTAAAACGCTCTTCGGAAACGGAGGGAGTTTCCGAAAGTTTATCTTGTTTTGAAATTCCTCGCTCGGAATGATGACAAGGCATTTTTGAGGACGCCTCGGGTGGTCGGTCGTAGTACGTTATGGAAAATTGTCTTGATGTTCGCACTCTATTAAGCTCTCGGATAAGTCAATAACGGCATTAGGGTGACGTAAACGATGTTGACGCTCGCTGTCGATAGAATATTTCTTGAAAACATTAATGTTCTACTTCTAAGTACAATAGAAATAATAAATAGATTCAATTATCAAATACCAGCGGTTTAGCAGGCTGCTTTATTATCCTGAATGTACGCGCGTTCTATTTCATACCAATACAAAAGATTTGTACTTAAAAGTAATTTGTGTATTGGTCAAGGTATTTTTCTATTACTGTTAATGTAATCTCCAATTAGTTTTCCGAGTCATTCCAGTGTTGTTGGCTGTGTAATCAATGCTATATGAATTATCCAGTATTATTAAATTCCCGAATACTAACACGACTAATTCTTAACACGTAACAACGATTTGATATAAATCATGTTACAAATAGTACCTACCTATATTTCAATAAGCCAGTAGCAAAAGAAACAACATATGAGTAGAACACTCACAGTAGTGCAGTTAATGACTGTGACTTTTTTTTTGTTCGTATTGTTCTTTTACGTGGCTGAAAAATATTTCTGGACTACGATTCTTAATTATTTTTCATGTGCTGTCATAACTTAATAACATAACAACATAAAATAAATGTACGTAAAACATGTTACTTAAAATATTCACATAATTATGTAAGTAATTGTTTAATTTTTGTCTCTTAGAAAGATGTAGTTTTTCTTGCCTTTGGGAATTAATCTTCTACCAAACGATTTAATGTACCGAACTATTAGAACAAAAACTCTAGCTATTTTTCAATCCTAAATGATTCGATGCAATGAATCTTTCTATTTTTTTGCTTGTTGAAAATATAAAAAAAATATATACATGTCTGGTTTTTTGTTGATTTTCGTAACTTCGATCACGTAAGTACGTTTATCGTAAGCAGCTTAACCAGCTTCCAAATTCTGTCTACTATAATGTCCTAAATTTTAGCTCCTTTTTTTTTAAATACTATCTTCCCTATATATAAACCCTTTTTCTTCGTAGGTGTACTCGCTTCTAATAAGTTTTCTTCCATTAGAAAGCTTTTAAAAGAGTATTTTGAGCTATTTTGTCGTTACCCTGCTGATATATATGGTTTAATATTCTATACATAATTTATATATATATATATATATATGCTTAATAATTTACTATATTTTTATCGTGGAATAACGTACTAATTTGATAAATAAATTATTTTATATTATCTTCCATTAGTTTGTTGCGCTAATTCTTTAGAACTTTGCATTATATCTAAAGTTTTTACTGTACACAAAAGTATTACAATGTTATTTATTATATGAACATAACTGTTATGCTTACTATAGAAACATGCACTTACTACAAAGTTTATCATCACTTTTACTCTCTCTGAGATAACTGTAGTAAGTGTATATTTAATTAACACTGATGTGCATATTAATATACAAAATGCAAAGTAGGTATTTATGGAGGGCTCAATGAACACCTATCTACGTTATCTACCTGTCGACCATGAGTTGTGTTGAGAATTATATATACAATATAATCTTGTATAGTTTTAATTATCATTATGCAAATTAATTGTGCTATAATCGGGTATAAAATGTTCTGGGTAATGGCAAGGTGCGTAAAATATACACAAGGATCGTTATTTTTAATGTTTTCTCCGTAATACAGTACCATAATTTTTAATTTACTGTGGTTGTTTCTCTTACTTTAAATGAAGTTTATTACAAATTGTTTTGTATTAGGGCTATAGATCAACGCGGTGTTTTAGAAAATTAATTTATCAAGAGATTATGAACTGAAATGGGAAATTGGATAGAATATTAAAACTGTCACAGCGGTATGTTATTATCAGGTAAAATAATATTCTGTAGCCAAGTCG